TTAATAAAAAATATATCTTAATCATAACCTTTTAACTTTGAGATAAGTAATCTTATAATAGATATTAAACAGATAACTTTCAATATATCTTGTAATTTTTGTTTCAATGCTTGACAAAATTTATTAACAATAATTATTATAATTTCTTTTATCAAATATAAAATAAAATTAAAATTAAATAACATCAATGTTTTAAGAGTAAGTATAACATTATCTTGTAAAAAATAAGTGTATTTTATAACAACTATATGCTTATGAAATAATTGAACTATACATTTGTGAAAGAACACATCTAGAATTGCAATGAAAATTTTATCTAGTACACATGTAGAATTGAAATAAAAATTTCATCTAGTGTCTTAAAATTTTTATAATATGTCAACCTTAGAGAGATGAAAATATATAACTCATCTATTTTATTAAAAAAATAAAAGTTAGGAGGGGCCAATAACCCCTACTGGTGCCTTGTCTTTTCCCCTGCTTATCTACAATTAATTGATGATTAGATTTTAAATTTGATACCGATTGATGGGGTTATAAAAACAGGGAAATGAGTCAAGTGGAAGCTGCGGGGATATTTGTCACCCAAGGAGATATATATGAAAGAAAATGTTCGGATGAGAAGAGATCTTAGCAAGTGGCTTTTAATTATATTTTATTTAGCTCATCTCCAACCCATAATTATGCAACTCATACAATTTAATCCGTCAAAATATAACTTATTTTATAATAGCTTTATGTTGTATTTGCATGCAGCTTTTCCTATTTGAAAAGAAATTTTTTGGTTTTTCAAATATTTTTGCCATCAATACTAATGATACTATTCTCTTAAGAAATCTAAGTATCATTTAATAAGGTTATCTTCTCTCAAGAGATGCTTTTCATATACAACTACAAGAATTGAATTCTGAAGTAATATTTAAATAGCATAAATTATTATTACCTACGCCATATCTAGTTGGTATTTGAAAAATAATTTTAACATGCCATCTTAATGTAAATATTATTTGTATTGTGCCCATTTGAAAGTACATTCAAGATCTAAATGAAAATTCATTTGGCGAACATAACTTTGAGTTGTTAACTTCATTCATCATGTTACCTATTATTATTGCTCATGCACCAAGTATCCTACGCTTGCCTCACATTAAGTTGTGGGGACTTAATAATAATCTAAAACTAATCTAGATCAAGTATTGAAAGACCCTTTCAAGTGGCAGGCCTTATTATAAAGTTTTATCATAGTTGTATTTTCAGGACTAAAATTCAAAATTACCAATTAAGTCAAAACACAAACTTCTTACCTATTGATGTATTCATCATATTATTTTATCTTAGGATTGGATGTAAAAAAATAAATTTTGTCTAAAAATAATGTTTTTTTTACTTGTTAATGGAAAAATCTTAACAAATAAAAATACTATAAACAGCTATCTTATACGTCCATTGATTTCTTATTTATGAAGAAATATTTAAGTAAACCGGATACATCATATCATTTATAATTTATCTAATTAAAATACTTCAAATGATCTAAATAAAATTTTGTATGGCATTTTTTTAATTAATTTTATTCTCATAATGAAATCCACATTTGATTTCTTATTTTTTATCTCTCTACTATTATTAATATCATAATTAATTTATATTTAATAACATCTAAATGTTATATTTTTATTGGATAGACTACAAATGATGTGATACACCTAGTCTACATAAAAATTTTTCCTTATATATATATATATATGAAGTGATGCCTTATATGGAATGTTTTTTTTTTTCTATTTCATGTTATCGAGTTAGATTTAAATATTTTTCTAATATGAATTAGGAAAAATGACATTGTTCACAAATATGCAAATAATAATAAAATTTCTTAAAATATCACAATTCTTCTCAAATTTTTAGGGACCTTTTCATATTAATATTTTTTGGTGAAATCACTAAAATACCCATAGTTAAAAATAAAAAAAATTATACAAAAAAGTTGTAATTGCTTATTCTATTTTAGTCATTGTTAGAAGACATTGCTGAAACTAAAATAGTTATGAATATTTACAATACTTAAACTTTTTTTTTTGATAAAGTACAATACTTGAACTTTAATGAATCAAAAATTTGCTCAAGAGAAGTTATAATTACTTATTCTATTTTAATTATTGCTAAAACACAAGTATTTATTTTTTAAACTAAAATAGTCATGGATATTCATAACATTTAAACTTTAGTGAATAACAAAATTTACATAAAGAAAGTTGTAATTGCTTGTTCTGTGTTAGTTATTGTTCGAAGAAAATTAATCATTATTTAAATTAAAGTGGCCATGGATATTTACAACACTTAAATTTCAATTAATCAAAAATTTTCACTGAAAAAGTTATAATTTCTCATGATATTCTCGTTATTACTAAAAAAAATAGTAATTGTTTAAACTAAAATAATTATTAATATTTATTTTTTTGGGTAGGGTGTTATTTTTTATTTTTAAATTAAGAATATTTTAGTCATTTAATCAAAATTAATAATGTCAGGAAAGTCTTTAAAAATTTGAAAAGAATTATATCATTCTGCAGGAGCTCATTATCATTTACATATTGCGGAGATTGTTTTTATCACTATAAATTATCAAATTATATTTGTGTTTATTGTCTTGATGTTAAAAAAAAAAAAAAGACGTCAAAGCTCCTTATCTGAACTTATTTTACGGAAAATTTTCCGGGCAGATGAACTTATCTTATGAAAGTGAAGATTATTTATCCATAATTCTGGGCATTTTTCATGTCGTCACCCCATGGCTGCCACCTATGCGTTTCTACATACTTGTCAATCTGTGATTTAAAATTAATATAAACTTTTAATGCTTTATATTTGGGAAAGTTGATTTTGTTTTATAAATTTAATTTTTATCATATCAATAATCCTTGATGTTTAAATTAACACGATTTATGTAGTTTTTAATCTCATGACAAGAATTAACACGATTAAATTATGCAAAATCAATAAAAATTGATAGAGTTAACTAGGATTTGGCCCATAATTCATTAGGTTATGAGTTTAAATTCCATCATCGATGTGAGAATTATATTACTGGTTGGCGATTTATAAATATCTTATAAGTATTCTTTTTTTTAAATACAATGCCATGGTATAAATACCGTGCAAAAAAATTAAAATTAAGTCATGTTAAAAATTAAAATGTTTCTATAATTTATGAAAGCGTCATCGAATAAAATAGTATTAAAATAATTGCTTGAGGCCTTGTGAGCTTTTTATAAATATTTTTTAAATTTGAAGACATGCTCTAGCTCTTATAACTCCACAAACCTAACTTACTTAAATTTTTTTTCTTAAAAAAAAAAATGCTGACATGGCTATCAGAATGATAATGTAGCAGCCATATAGATTAATAACATGTGAAGCGAAAATGCTGACTTAGATGACAAGAAAAAAGTAAGGGAGAATTTTAACTAAAAACTAAAAAAAAAATATTTATCAGTAGATTTCAAAAAAAAAATCTGAAAATTATTTGTAGGGTTTTTGAACTAAATTGAAATAAAGTTATTAGTTGAAAAGACAAAAGTACTTTTTTGCAAAAAAATAAAAAAGAAAAAAAGAAAAAAAGTAGCTAATCAAAAGATTTATTAATTATATAACTTTATTTGTTAATTATACAATATGACTTGTTAACTGCTTAACTTTATTTGTTAATTTTGTGACTCCCCAGACCTAACTACATTATTTATTAATTTTTTAACTTTACTTGTTAATTTTGTAACAATAATTGTTAATTTCATAATTTAACTTGTTAACATAGTGATAAGACTTGTTTAATCCGTCTGAAAAGCAACTAAATTATTTATTAATTATGTAATTTTACTTGATAATTTCTCAACACATTAGTTAATTGCCCATTGTCACTTGTTAAATTACACTTGACATCTTGTTTAACATCAAATCTATAACAAATTCATTATTTGTAAAATTATTATCTTAAATTATAAATTACATAATATTACTTGTTAACCAAATAACATTACTTAATAACATTTGATAGGGATTAACTAGTAAAATTAAGCAGTTAACAAGTAAAGTTATATGACCAATAGATATTTCGATTAGCAGCATTTTTTTTCTTCTGTAGAAAGATATTTTGGTCCTTTTTGAAATCTATTAGTAAATATTTTTCCTCTTTGATCATTAGCTAAAATTTTCCTAAAAAGTAACATATTAAAAAAGCCATATCGGTTAAAAAAGTCACAAAAATTTAATTAGGAATTATAAAATATTAAAATCAATAACACATCACTCATAAGAATTAGGAGATTTGATTTATGTGGATTAATTAATCCACGTGTATATTTTATGTTAGCAACTTAATTTTCGTATCATCTTTCTTTTAGGGCTAATTTATCTTATAAAATTTAAAGAACTAACTTGATAATTGAAACAAATATTAAGAACTAAAATAATAAAAAATAAATTTGAAAGATCAAATTAATAATTTTTCCAAACATAAAAGACTAAAAGTTACATTATCTCTAACCTATAAAAATTAATATAATTATGTGTTTATTAGTTTCAATTGAAGATTTAATCATCTCCAATTTTTTACTTAAAGGAGTACGGATTGCACCACAATTTTGAGTATTCAATGTGTGACAAATTAATATTCATTATTTTTTTAAAAAATCACATCCAGTCTCTTTAAAAAAAATAAATTATAAATAAGGATTAATATGAAATATATTGTTATTAAAATAAAAAAATAATTTTTTTGGGGGCTGAATGAGATTCTTTCTTATTTTTTTTGGTTAATTTAATTGATAAAATATGGGAAAAAATCCATTAAAATTAAGTAATTAGGAGTACTTCCAAATTTATTGGACTGAAAATGCTTTTTTTGACGTAATTACTAACACATTCAATGAGTGGCCGACAGCTGTCACAGTTAAACAATACCTTTTGGCACGGGATTTATGCTCTCCAATTTGTTTAATCCCATTTGTCATAGATATTTTCTTCTCTCTCCAGGGCATGGCAGTTTCTATGGTAATAATGCCCTTGGTCGCCGTTCAATGACCGAATAAAAAGAAAGAATGATTCTCTCTGCCCGATCGCCGTCGTGCTTCGCTTCTCGTCGGTACGTACACGGCGGTTTGGTTTTCCTCTATGATTTCCGGCGATGATTTCGCACTTCGTAAGCTATCTAATTAAGCCTCTCGTTTTGCATTGCTTTTTCTTTGTACATACAGGCAGGTACTGGCGATTAATGATTCGCTGATCCGTACTGGTAAAGAAATGAGACGTTCGGTGTTCTGATTTTTTATTCTTCACCAGGTAAGAATTGTTACATTATTCTCCTTGTTACACACAGTTTCTCATTCTTCTCTTATTGCTGTGATTTTATAGAACGAAGTTTCTGTTTTGTTTTTGCAAACTTGGTTTGAAAACCCAGGGGAGGTTCCTACGGTGGTAGAAATGCTATTTGTTTCTCACTTTTCTTTTTGATTTTTTGTGTCTGAATGTGGTATGACTTTCTTTGGGTAACAAAACTTGCTTCAGTGCAAGAGAAGTGTACTGACCAGTGACCATTAGAACTAGTTGATTTTCTTGTGTTTCAGCTGGTAGAGTGACATATGATATGACAGTTTCTGATTAGTGCCGGTGTATTTGAATTTGGAATGCTCGTGATAAGATGATGGATGAATGCTCAATTTTCACTTGGATCTTTTACATCTAAATTTTAGGTTTTTTTTTTTTTAAAGAGTTATTTAGGATTTAGGTAGGCTTCAGCTTTGTCTTGTACACCCCGACCTTTACCCATACCCTGAGTTAATACTACATCTTAACATTTTATTTTTAATATTCTGGTATTTTTTTAAATTTTAACAGATATATGATATAAAATTAAAATCATTTCGTAGCTGATGATGTTTCAATTTTTGAAGAGAGTTTCAAATCTCATCTCAAATACGATCGTAAGATGCTCCACCTTTGAGATAAAATACTGCAAGTGCTTTATACATGTATATGTGTATATATATAAAGTCAATTAATTATTGTTTGCATTAAACTGAAACTTATCTGATTAGGGTTAGGTTTGCCCCTCCGAGATGTAGAGGAGAGAGAGAGAGAGATTTTTGTTTTGTTTTGTTGGGTCATAGAGAGATTTTTGTTTTGATCCCTTTAAAACATCTTTCTCCATGAATGTCAATGAGAATTGAACCTTTACAAACAAAAACTTCTATTACATATACCATGTGAGCTTATTAACTAATTAATTAATGAGCTTGGACCAAATGAACACCCCTAAACAAAAAATTATACATGTTACTTTCTGTAAAGTTATATTTAATTTGTGATTAGTTTGGGACAATATTTTCTTTCTTTTTCTTTTTTGCCTATCAAATTGTTCTCAAGAAAGCAATTCCTCAACTTGGCCAGTCTTGCTTTGTTGTCCGCCTAGTTGCTGCTCTGCTTTCCCCCACTTCATATTATGCAAATAAAAGATTAGTTTTATAATTGTTGATTTCATCACACAAATTAAGTAAAAAAATCGGTAATATTCTTTTTAATTTTCTAACATAAATTAATTGCCTCTCCATTATATATTTCTATACAAAACTTATTCCTAAATCAACCAATGTAGTGATTAACACATCTAATATAACTAGCAGTTATCAGTTTCAGGTAAATAATTTTTTTATGTCAACAAAATATTGTGTTAAATTTGGAAAAAATTTATCAGACAGAGAAACAAAACAACTTCATTTAGAAAGATAGGAAGACAGTAATGTTTGTTTTAAAATTTGAGGGACTGTAGTAAAAACTTTGAAACTTAAAAGGACCAGAAGCATATCAAAGTCTTTTCGTATGACCGTGAACGTTTTATTTTTATTTTTATTCAGACAATAAATTTTTTGACGACTTTTTGGTGAAAACATGGGATAAAAGTTTTATTTTTCTAACAAAAAATGTAAACCTTGTACATAATGCAAGGGTTGTTTGGAAATTTAGGTGAGTGATGTCTAATGATGACTGTGATATGAATCAATTTATTTACATAGGCGCATAAGATATGATTGTTAAATAGTCATCCTTGGTATATACAGCGAAACTTCTGTAGGCTTATGAAACAAGCAATCAATAACACAGGCTACAAGTTTATTAAATTGTGTTCTTCATTAATTGGTCCAAACTCCAAACCTATCGTTTGGCATGGATAAAGGTGATTAGTAAATAATTATGTACTAACTTTGTTGGTATTTTCTCTGAAGTGCACTTAGCGAAGAAACCAACAATGTATCAATACGTGTTTGTGCGGTGTGTATTAAAATCTATAACAAGTACGTTATTTACAAATCACGAAAAATGTAACTCATCTCAATTTCTATGCCTTATATGGGGAAACATGTTTGGTTGAGTATAATGAAAGAAAATAAGAGTAGTATAACCTAAGTATACTATTACAATTAGAATTTAATATTTTCCCTTTACTATATGAGAAAAAAATTTCAATAAACACCAATATCAATAGTATCAATCACCATCAATATATCAATACAAAAGAATAAAATCTAAAATAATTATATATAAGAAGCTTATGATGCATTTGGCTTGTTAATAGTATTATAATTTGGGATATTTAACTTATAATTCGGGTTGTTAATATATCAATGCATGTTTTGTTGTTTTGCAGTAATTGAAATTCAATTCAATATATACATTTTGGGACCAATGCACACATGGAAATTTTAGTTTATAAAAATTGTACTATTGAAAGTTTTGAAAATAATAACTCATTTTTAAAATTCTGTACAATGCATATCACTTACCTAATTAGATTCAAATTTCTCTTCCTTTGATTTCTTTTTCATTTTATCAATCAAGATGTTTTCTGAACTTCTTGTGAGAGGGTGCTAGCGTAGGAAGATTCACATCCGAAACATCAGAAGAAAAGAAGAAAGAAACAAGAAAAGAAGAAAGAAAGGTCTTGTCGAGTCCATAATCCAAGACAGTTAACAACAAAACCAAATATAACTAATCAATCCACTCTTTGGATTGCAACATAAATCATAACTAATAAATTTATAATTTATGAATAATATTAATTGAAACATTAAATTTTTAAAAATGTTTTTATCTTTTTATTTATATCCTTATTAAATAATCTAAATAAGAGTGTTAATAATAGTAATTAAAATTTTAATGCATGATTTTTTTTTAATGAGTAATGAATAAGGTAGGAATATAGTTAAAAAAACAAATATAATTTGGACCGGGCAAAATTTTTAAAAAATGTCTCATATTGTGTAGTTATAGAGTATGTTGCTTTGGAATTTGCCAAATTAACCATTTGGAATTCGCCAAATTAGCCCACCTTACAGAAAGGGCTGGAAATGCCCTTTTATTAATGCGCAATGAGGAGTTGGACCACCTGTGCATCCAATCCCCTTTGTATTTCGCTAGGGTTCTTTTGGTTTGGATTGGACTTAACTGTTCTTTTTATGTAAATTAGATTAGATATTCTCTGTTTATACGTCTGAAGAGTAACAAATGAATATAATAATTGCCTAACACATTCACATTTCGCTTCTATGCATTAACTTTCTTTCCGAGGAGAGAAGAGTTTTGGTCATAGATAATGATATTAAATATAAATGAGAGATTTACTTTTATAAACTTTTTAATGATGTAGGAGGATCTTTAATAACTTGGAGGATTTAGTATCTTGTGAAGGAGAATAAAATTTGTTATTCTATTAAAAGATATGCGATAGCGAGGTAAATAAAGCTCTTAAGAAAATGATAAATGCTAGAGCCAATAAATTTGGTTGTATCTTTATTAAAATGAGAAAATGTTTCAGTGAAGAAAGGACGTGGTAGCTAACTAAGTTATTTAATAATATTTTACAGTTTAAGAAAATGCTTGACAATTGAAAGAGAAACACTTTAGTTCCCATTTATAAAAATAAAGGGATATTTAGAATTATGCTAACTATAGAGGGATTAAACTTATAAGTCATATAATGAAATTGTAAGAAAGAGTAATTGAGCATAGGTTAAGAATAGAGATTGATATTTTTGAAATTCAGTTTGGCTTCATGCCATATAAGGGGATTATAAAAATATTAAGGGGATTAATGAAAAAATACTGATGCAAAGGTAAAAATTTATACATGGTTCTCATTGAAAAAGTATATGACCGTGTATTGAGAGCAGTTCTTTCAAAAGCTTTGGAAAAGAAGGGAGTTCGGGTTGCGTATGTTAGAGTTATACAAGATATGTATGAAGCGACAACAACTAATATAAGAACATCTGGTGGTGAAATAAAAGACTTTCATATAATGATTGGATTATATTAGGGATTATCTTCGAATCCTTATTTATTTAACCTAGTCCTACATGTTTTGATTGAGCATATTCAAGAGAAAATTTTCAAATGCATGTTTTTTTGCTGATAATATAGTTCTAATTGTGAAAACAAGAGAAATGATTAAATGTAAATTTGAATTATGGAGGAGGATATTGAAATCAAAGATTTCCGCTTGTAAGAGTAAGATGGAATATTTGCATTATAATTTTGATAAGATGTTGGTTAGTAATAATTTGAAAGTAAAATTGGGTGATTAGATATAATCAAGGGGAAAAGTTTAGATATTTAAGAATTATTAATCAACATGATAGAGAAATTGATAGGGATATTACACATAGGGTATAAGATGGGTGGTTTGATTGGATAAAAGTTAAATAAGTTATTTACAATTGTAAAGTATCTAATAAATTTAAAGGAAGTTTTGTCAAACTACTATAAAATTAGTTATGTTATATAGTAGTAAATGTTAGGTTTTAACGGGATAGAAAGAGCATTCAATTAGAGTAGCAAAGATAAGAATGTTGAGAAGAATATGCATACATACTTGTAAAGATAAAATTTAAAATGAGTATATACGAGAAAAAGTGAGTGTAACACCCATTGAGGAGAAAATGATAGAAAATCGTTTACAGTGGTTTAAGCATGTACAAAGAAGATGATAGAGGGCACCGGTAAAGAGAGTGAAATATATAACTTTAAGCTGTGTTAAGAGGGATAAAAGAAAGTTAAAGAAAACACTTTTAAAAGTTGTTGATTGAGACCTCTCAGTTAATAATATTTTCAAAAATTTGGTAAATAATAAGACACAATGATATTGTATAATTCATATAGGTGACCCTATCTCATGAGATAAAACTTGTTATTGTTAATGTTTAACTCTAATGAAGTATGGAGAAAATTATTATAAGAAATAACAAAAAGTGATACATATTCAACACAATATATAAGAAAGATTGAAGGAA